TTTCGATCCAATACTTCTTCAAACTCCAAAGCTAGTTGCCAAATGGATTAGGGGCGGAGTCTCAAGTTCTCGGGATTTCACCCCTAGTCCAATTTCTCAGGCCGTTTCCAATCAACCTGCTAAATCAGAGCTCAATTTGGCACCTTCGGGACAAATGAAAAAATTGCCCCTGGTGTGGTTTTTCTTTGTTAGTTTTCTGTCCAACACTTCTTCAAATTCCAAAGTTAGTTGTTAATAGGACTCGGGGCGGAATCCCGAGATCTCGAGATTTCGCCCTGAGTCCAATTTCTCCGGCCGTTTCCAATCAACCTGCCAAATTTCAGCCCATTCCGACACTGTCGCGACAAATGACAAAATTGCCCCTGGTACAATTTTTCTTTATTAATTTTCTGTCCAACACTTCCAAGCTAGTTGTCAATTAGACTCGGGGCGGAGTCCCGAGATCTTGGGAATTCACCCCGAGTCCAATTTCTCGGGCCATTTCTAATCAACTTGCCAAATTTCAACCCATTCCGACACCGTCGAGACAAATGACAAAATTGCCCCTGGTGTGACTTTTCTTTGTTAATTTTCTGTCCAACACTTCTTCAAACTCCAAAGCGAGTTGTCAATTGGACTCGAGACGTAGTCCCGAGATCTCAAGATTTCGCCCCAAGTCCAATTTCTCGGGCCGTTTCCAATCAACCTACCAAATTTCAGCCCATTCCGACGCCGTCGCGACCAATAACAAAATTGCCCCTGGTGCGATTTTTCTATATTAAATTTCTATCCAACACTTCTTCAAACTCCAAAGCTAGTTGTCAATTGGACTTGGGGCAGAGTTTTGAGATCTTGAGATTTCACCTCAAATCCAATTTCTCGAGCCGTTTCCAATCAACCTGCCAGATTTTAGCCCATTTCGGTACTGTCGTGTCAAATGACAAAATTACCCTTGTTGCGGTTTTTCTTTGTTAATTTTCTGTCGAACACGTCTTCAAACTCCAACGCTAGTTGTCAATTGGACTCGGTGTCGAGTCCCGTGATCTCAAGATTTCTCCTCGAGTCCAATTTCTCGGGCCGTTTCCAATCAACCTGGCAAATTTCAGCCCATTCCGACACCGTCACCACAAATGACAAGATTGCACCTGGTTCGGTTTTTCTTTATTAATTTTCTGTCCAATACTTCTTCAAACTCCAAAGCTAGTTTCCAATTGGACTCTGGGTAGAGTCCCGAGATCTTGGGATTTCTCCTCGAGTTCAATTTCTCGGGCTATTTCCAATCAACACGCCAAATTTCAACCCATTTCAATACTGTCGCGACAAATGAAAAAATTGCCCCTGGTGCGGTTTTTCTTTCTTAATTATCTGTCCAACACTTCTTCAAACTCCAACCCTAGTTGTCAATTGGACTCAGGACAGAGTCTCGAGATCTCGGAGTTTCACCTGGAGTCCAATTTCTCGGGCCGTATCTAATCAACCTGTCAAATTTCAACCCATTCCGACACCGTGGCGACAAATGACCAAATTGCCCCTGGTGCGGTTTTTCTTTATTAAATTTCTCTCCAACACCTCTTCAAACTCCATAGATAGTTGTTAATTGGACTCAGGGCAGAGTCCCAAGATTTTGGGACTTCACCTCGAGTCCAATTTCTTGGGCAGTTTCCAATCAACCTGCCAAATTACAGCCCATTCTATCACCGTCGCGACAAATGACAAAATTACCCTAGTACGACTTTTCTTTGTTAATTTTCTGTCCAACACTTATTCAAACTTCAAAGCTAGTTATCAATTGGACTCGGGGTGGAGTCCCGAGATCTCGGGATTTCACCCCGAGCTCAATTTCTCAGGCCGTTTCCAACCAACTTGCGAAATTTCAGCCCATTTCGACACTGTCGCGAAAAATGACAAAATTGCCCTGGTGCGATTTTTCTTTGTTAATTTTCTGTCCAACACTTCTTCAAACTCCAAAGCTAGTTGTCAATTGGACTCGGAGCAGAGTCCACTCCAAAGCTAGTTGTTAATTGGACTCAGGACAGAGTCCTGAGATCTCAGGATTTCGCCCCGTGTCCAATTTCTCGGGCCGTTTCCAATCAACCTGCCAAATTTCAACCCATTCCGACACCATCGCGACAAATGACAAAATTACCCCTGGTGCGATTTTTCTTTGTTAATTTTCTGTCCAACACTTCTTCAAACTCCAAAGCTAGTTATCAATTGGACTCGGGGCAGAGTCCCCAGATCTCGGGATTTTGCCCTGAGTCAAATTTCTCGGGCTGTTTCCAGCCAACCTATCAAATTTAAGCTCATTCCGATACCGTCGCGACAAATGACAAAATTGCCCCTGGTACAATTTTTCTTTATTGATTTTCGGTCCAACACTTCTTCAAATTCCAAAGCCAGTTGTCAATTGGACTCGGGGCGGAGTCCCGAGAACTCGGGATTTCATCCTGAGTCCAATTTCTCGAGCCGTTCCAATCAACCTGCCAAATTTCAGCCCATTCCGACACCGTCGCGATAAATGACAAAATTGCCCTTGGTGCGATTTTTCTTTATTAATTTTCTGTCCAATACTTCTTCAAACTCCAAAGCTAGTTGTCAATTGGACTCGTGGCAGAGTCCCAAGATCTCGAGATTTCATCCCAAGTACAATTTCTCGGGCCGTTTCCAATCAACCTGCCAAATTTCAGCCCATTCCGACACTATCGCGACAAATGACAAAATTGCCCCTGGTGCGATTTTTCTTTGTTAATTTTCTGTCCACCACTTTTTCAAACTCGAAAGCTAGTTGTCAATTAGACTTGGGGCAGAGTCCCGAGATCTCAGGATTTCACCCTGAGTCCAATTTCTCTGGCCGTTTTCAATCAACCTACCAAGTTTCAGCCCATTCCGACACCATCACAACAAATGACAAAATTGCCCCTGGTGCGGTTTTTATTTGTTAATTTTCTGTCCAACACTTCTTCAAACTTCAAAGCTAGTTGTCAATTGGACTCAATGTGGAGTCCCAAGATCTTGGGATTTTGTCGAGTCCAATTTCTAGGGCCATTTCCAATCAACCTGCCAAATGTCAGCCCATTCCGACACCGTCGACAAAATTGTCCTTGGTGCGGTTTTTCTTTGTTAATTTTCTGTCCAACACTTCTTCCAACTCCAAAGATAGTTTTCAATTGGACTCGAGGCGGAGTCCCAAGATCTCTGGATTTCACCCCAAGTCCAATTTCTCGGATCGTTTCCAATCAACCTACCAAATTTCAGCCCATTCCGACGCCGTCGACAAAATTGCCCCTTATACGATTTTTCTTTGTTAATTTTCTGTCCAACAGTTCTTCAAACTCCAAAGGTAGTTGTTAATTAGACGAATCCAATTTCTTGGGTCATTTCAAATTAACTTTCCAAATTTCAACCCATTCCGACACTGTTGACAAAATTGCCGTTGGTGCAGTTTTTCTTTGTTAATTTCGTATCCAACACTTCTTCAAACTCCAAAACTAGTTGTCAATTGGACTCGGGGCGGAGTCCACTCCAAAGCTAGTTGTCAATTGGACTTGGGGTGGAGTCTCGAGATCTCAGGATTTCACCCCGTGTCCAATTTCTCGGACCGTTTCCAATCAACCTGCCAAATTTCAACCCATTCCAACACCGTCACGACAAATGGCAAAATTGCCCTTGGTACGATTTTTCTTTGTTAATTTTCTATCCAACACTTCTTCAAACTCCAAAACTAGTTGTCAATTAGACTCGGGGCGGAGTGCCGAGATCTCAAGATTTCACTCGAGTCCAATTTTTCGGGACGTTTCCAATCAACTTGTCAAATTTCAGCCCATTTCGACACCGTCGCGACAAATGGCAACATTGCCCTCGGTGCGATTTTTCTTTGTTAATTTTCTGTCCAACACTTCTTCAAACTCCAAAGCTAGTTGTCAATTGGACTCGGGGTGGAGTCTCGAGATCTTAGGATTTCGCCCTGAGTCCAATTTCTCGGGCCGTTTCCAATCAACCTACCGAATTTCAGCACATTCCGACACCATCGCGACAAATGACAAAATTGCTCCTGATGCGGTTTTTCTTTTTTAATTTTCTGTCCAACACTTCTTCAAACTCCAAAGCCAGTTGTCCTATATCAAGATGAAATAAAATAAAATATCTTTTTGGTTTCCGAGGATGTTTATGTTGTGTTCACATATTATGTATAAATTACATTAATTAGTCATTGATTGCTTGAAAGAAAGATATGTGTCTATCAAAGTGTGAAAGTGGAAAGGATCAAGTTTTAGACCTTATTTCCTCTACAATTTGCTTTTTCGGTATTTATTCTTTCATTTTAAGAAAAGAGGTGAATGCAATGAGGATTGCCTTGAAAATCGAGATGTGGCACATTCCAAAATGCTCTGTGATTCAATACTGAGGATAGCCATACTATTTCACATAATGTAGTCTCCACCTTATTGCTTTAGCTCCTTGCAGGTGTTTCCAAACTTGCATCAAAGAAAGAGGATGGAATTTTGAATCAGATTCTGGGTAACGAAGAAATGCTTTCTAGTCCACAACTGACAGGCAACGTGTCATGTTCGAATGTTAAAGAGACATCCACTTTGAATGGAGAAGATATAGGTAGAAGTGTTTCTTTTGATCAGCTTGCTCAAGTTCTAGCAGAAGTGGTATTTGCTACTCCTGACGACTTGCGTCTACAAGCCCTGGTCGAAAAAAATGATATAGAACTTTGAAAGAGGAAGGTAAATCTGTAAAAGCCTTCAGAGTTTTTAAACGGGGAAAGGAGCTTGAAAGATAGACCGGAGCTTTGGAGGTATATCTAAAATGAAGACGTAGAATGGTTTCCTCTTCCAGTTCTAAGAATGACATTCAGCAAATTAAAGATGATTCTACGTCATCTGGTGAGAATAATAAGCTCCCCATTCAGATTTTAACACATAAAGAGGCAGTGGTGGATCCAGGAATTTTTGCGCACGGGCTAAAATTTAAAAGTCAATATAATAAATTTATATATTATATTAAAGTCAAATTCATTTAATTTGAAGCTGATCTCGACAAGGTTTTGAGACATAAAATTCATCTATCACAGAATCTATATCTATCTTTTGAGCAAGTTCTCGTTCGATGAAGAGTGTCATACAATCAGCAAGAAATTCATCTTCCATTTTGTTACAAAGATCCGTCTTCACATTTTTCATTGCTGAAAATGCTCGCTCGGTAGTCGCGGTAGAAATAGGTAAAGTCAGTACAAGACGAATAAGTCTAGTAACCATAACATAAATCTCAGATCTTTTACTCTCAGTTAACTGCCAACATAACTCAACAAGTGTAGATTCTTGAAATCGAGATTCAGTATTCATATCTAGCTCATAGTGTCGCAATTCATATTCCAAAGTACGAATATCTTCCTTTGGAAAATCTTCAGGATAGAATTTCTCAGCAAGTGTACAAATATCATGACTACTAAATGATGCAAATGAATCCCTAGGATCCAACGCTGCACTAAGTGTGAGAAGTTCAACTGATGTATCATTAAATCTTGTATTTAATTCCATCAATACGTAATCTATTGCTTCATTGAAAACATCAAAGTGATAATGATGCTTCATTGTAATTGGATCACGAGAACGGCAAGGACCAACCTTATATAAACTTTCTAGATCGGGTTCCTCAAGAAATTCTTTCCAATCATCATCTCTTAATTTGTGGAGGAATTTTGTTGTAGTAGAAATGAATCTCATAGCGATCAGGATGTCTTGAGATTTCCTTTGAAGGGCTTGACAAAGAACATAGGTTATTCTCATGATGGTATGCATTAAATGCAAACTGAACACGAAATCAAAACTTTTCATTTGTTTGTAAGTACCACGAACTTCACCTTGAGATTTTCCATTTGGACAATGAACACTAAGATTTTCAAACACTGCGCAAGTTGCATTATACATATCTATTAAGCTCTTTATAGATTCATAATGAGAACTCCAACGAGTTGCTCCTAATCGTTGTAAATTACCCACTTGATTCGCTCCACTTCCCGACTCACGCTCCCCAATAGCTAGCATATGCTCAATTTCAATTCTTTGAGCATATTGTAACTCCGTAACGCGCTTAGGGGAAGAAGTGATAATGTTGATAATATTGTCCAGATGAGAAAAGAACTCCCAAATAACATCAACTTCTTTAGCTACATAAACCAATACCAACTGTAATCGATGAGCGAAACAGTGGACGTAATACGCAAATGGACAATCTCTAAGAAATAATGCCTGAAGTCCATTCCAAGCGCCCTGCATATTACTAGCACCATCATATCCTTGGCCTCTCATTTTTGACACTTCAAGTTCATGTTGAGCAAGAACATTTACAATCTCATCTTTTAGACTTGATGATGTGGTGTCGCTAACGCTTTTGATATCAAAGTAGCGTCCCGTCAAAATACCCTGACCATTCACAAACCTCAAAATAATAGCCATTTGTTCTCTCTTAGATGCATCTTGTGCTTCATCAACAAGAATACAAAAGTATCCATCCCCAACTTCTTCACGAATCATTCTTCTTACTCTATTCGCCATTATGTGTAAGATTTCTTTTTGAATACTCGGAGCAATGTATTGGGCATTTTTTGGAGCATTTTTCAACACAACTTTATCAATTTATGTATTTGTTTTTGCCAACATTTTTATCATCTCAATAAAATTCCCACGATTTAATGAAGATGAAGATTCATCATGACCTCTAAAGGAACAACTTTGAAATGCAAGCCAACGTGCACTTCGAATTGAGTCTTTAAACATAGACGACGTTTCTCAACTTCTTCATTCGATATGGTATGTATCACTTTATCAATATGTTGAGATGGTTTCATTAAATCTTTAGCTCTTCTCTCACACATATTATGTTCCGATGATCGCAAATGAGTAAGAAATACACATTTTTCTCCGTCATTAACCCTCTTCCACTAGTTATATCCAGAAGTTATCAATGCCGAACAATTGGACAGATTTCCATCATCCCGAAAAAGATAACAATAAAAGCAATATGCTCTATCTGTTGTAGGTGAATATTCTAACCAAGGAAACTGGTTAAACCATTTTGCCTGAAAGCGATGAGATTGAGATTTTCCTTGTGTTCTAGGATACTCAACAAGTCTTGGTTAATAAGGCCCAGCCTTTAGATATGACACTCTAATTTCATCCCGCATATTAGAAGGAAATTCTAGTATTTGCTTTCTTTTTCTTGGTTCTCGTTCAATGCTAATATTTGAGGATGAATGATGTTCAACTTCCAATGGAAATGAAGGTAGATCTTCAGTTAGTCCATCAAAAGTTGTACTTTCAATAGGTCGTCCAGCCCTTTGGAAGAATGAAAACAAGTTCTTATTCTTCTTGAGAGGAGGTTGACCTTCCATTTTCAATTCTTACAATTTCCAAAAAAAGGTAAAAAAGATAAAATCAATCATCAATGATATTATTCTAGCGACAATAAAAAAATAATCCACTAAGTTGATAAGGCAACAACAACAATCATTAAACCAACAAGACAACAACAAAAATCATTAAGCCGACAAGGCAACATGCCAACAAGGCAAAAACAAGTCATTAAGTGGACAAGGCAACATTTCAACAATAATTAATTAAATAATTCAATATTTTTCCGGCAAGGCCCCAAGTGGAGAGACGAGGGCATTTACTGTAACGCCCCGACCCCTAGTGGACCGGAACGCTACTTACTTTACTTAGTTTAACCGGTGGTTTAGTAACAAGTGTATACATTTTAGCGGAAGCTTACATCTTCGGATAATAATTTAAATAACAATACTTCAAATACTTTAAAGAAAAACACTGAATCATTTTTCAAAATAACAAAATGTAATTTATTTGAAAAAACATAACTTGTTCACACATTCTGCGTTATTCAAAACTTTAAAGAAATAACATTGGAAAACATTTGATAAAAATAAATCCAAATCACTTATTCACCGAATTTTTATGGGCTCGTTGCATCACTCTCCATCTTTTCCTCCATCCATGCCCGAGGTAGAATTCTTCAATCTGTAGAGATGGGATTAAACCCGTGAGATGAAAAACTCAATAGGTGTCATAGGTGCATTCGTGATCAAGCTATACATTTCAAAACATTAACTTTATAACTTTTCATACATG